CTTCCGATAGGGTAATGTTTAAAGTTGCTAGGAAACAGAATTACATAGCAAGGACAAGAGGCCATTGTACATCCATGGGGAAACATTGGCTGTTTTCCACCATAAATCAGAAGTTCTGATTTATAGTGGAAATATCAGCTGAGCAGATACAATCCCTGTAAAATAACTCTGCACTCTGAAATCAAGGCTCAGTCCTGCAGCTACTATTTACGCAGCAACTCTCAGCAGTGCACGACTGCAGTTCATGTTTCAGCATCAATGGCATTAGGCACTTAGCAGAAAACAATAACCATCTCTGGAGAGAGGCCCAGCTTGGATTTCGTGTCAGCTGGATGCAGCATAAAATACAAGCCAGATCTGGACCATTCCTGTAAAGCACAGGTTTGTAGATTGGGGTTAGGAAAAAAACACAACCAGCTTGAACTCTGCAAACAGTAACTAGAAGCAGACCCTTGAGGCTGTGGGCAGAAAGGAGAGCTGCCCCTGTTCTCATATTCGAATTCCAGTAGACATGTTTTTCCTTTATCCTTTTCCTTCTTTTCTCCAATAGCCAAGGGTTGTTTAATTAAAACACTAAAGAAGTTGCTCTCATCCATAGCTCTGCAGCTTCACTGATTCATACAGGTGTAAACCAGAGCAGTATTAAAACAGAAGAGCACTTGGTACCCGTGGTGTCTGTGCAGGACATCCAACAGGATGAGCACTGAGGCAGGAGCTGCCTCCAGTCGTCTGCCTTCCTCTCTTTGGAGACCTTCCTCTTTCAAGGTGTGGCTCAGAATATTTCTCCTTATTGTTTATTTATGTAGCTTTAACAGTATATACACACATATATCCTGAGCCAAAGTCAATAGGAACATTCCTGTTGACTTCAGACTGGTTTGCCCTTCAACCATGTTGCAGGGAGTGTGTTTGGCCCCAAAGAATTTACAGTCCTAAAGCACAGTGAGTTCAGAGGGTACATAAATGTATTTTAAATTAAGAGGAAAAGAAAAAACAAAACTAAACAAAACAAAAAACCCAACAGGTTTAAGTGTACTTGTACCTAGGAAAGAGGCTAAAATTAAACCAAACACATTGTTCCTGAAACAAAGTTTAAAGAAATCAGAAGTTTCACTAAGTGTTGAATTATCTAATGGACTAACAGTAATCAACTAGCTAAGATTACGCCTGGATTCTAGTCAGATCTGTGACTCCAGTAGGTATGAACATAAGAAAGCCATTTTAAACTGGCTAGCTTGGGTATCAGCAGTGCTGCAGCTGTGGCAACACGAGATGCTCAAAAAACACATCCAGGACCACAGATGAATGCTGCAGTGACTGGTCCATGATCTCTCTGACTTGCTGCAGCTACAGTCCAGGCAGTGATCAAACTATCCAAGGAAACGTAGCGTGCTGCAGTAGACTGGTGAAGCTCTCTAGACCTTCTCTACTCCCACAGCCACAGGCGAGAATTTTTCCCAGAGAATTTGTTATATGTAACTGCAGGACATACAGGGCCTAATTTTCAGAGTTTAAATGTGCGATGTCTTTACATGCTGCCTCTTTTCTCTCTTCTTTTTTAAAAAGAAAACCAAGCAAAAATATAAAACCCCACCAAGCTGCTGTAATTCCGTCATGTATTTTGGTCTTTTCCACTTTATTCTGCTGCTAATTCCATGTTACTATCTGCTGAGTCCTAATAAACGACGAGGCATGATTGCATCTAGTTTTCCTCAACAAACGAGAAGTTTGTTAGTTTGCACCATTTTTAGAGAGCAGCTGTGAGCACCTATGTGTGACTGGGTTTGAGTACGACTGGCTGGTGCAGACCGACTAGGGCAGGTGCCTTTGGGAAAGCAGGTGGGGCTTATTAGGAATTTAAACTATTTGTCAAAGTCTGTCACCATTGGCTGTCTCTTAATTTGAATTAGGCAGTAAATTCATAATAATGAGAAAGAAAGGGTTATTTGGGTTTGGATTTTTTTTTCCTCCACCTTACAGGAACTATGGGGAATACAGTGAGTGTCCCAGAGGAGGCTGAAGAAGACAACACGTGCACAGTAAAGAGCTATCAGGTAAGCCACAGCTGCCCGCTCTCATCTTCCCTGGCTATTGCATATTGTAATTTTCAAATTCCATGATGTACTCAGTCCTGAGAACTAAACTATCTGCTATTTCAGGCTCTATCTGAATCTCCTGACAATATTAAAAATGGATCTGTTGCATTTGTTCAGACTCATTCTCCTGCAATGAATGGTGAAGGTATGTACTGGGAAAGGGTGGCATAGTTGCACTTCTTTTGCCACCAGACGGGCAGAGAGAGGTTTAGACTGGAGTAACAATAAATACTGGTGTATGGCCTCAAATTAAAAGATGAGCCCATGTTTCAGCTTTTATTTGTGAGGCGGTACATGCGGTTTTTCAGAAGCTTGAAAATTTGAAGATAACAGAGTAAAATCAGATAATGTTTCCAAAGTTCTCTGGAAGCTGGTTTTTTTAATTGTTCTAAGAATTTAGTTCTGCACCTGATCAACAAAAAAAAAGTGGGTTTATAGACTGAAGGTTTTGGTTAGGGTGAAATGTTATAGGGCAGGTATTGTTTGTCACTGGTCCCTTTCAGGTTGTTGCACAAACCTGAGGGTGTCCTGTGATAAACCACTTCTGCTTGGGCTCTGGTGGAAATAGCCCCTCTAACAAACCTTGGAGGAATCATCGCTGCAAGGAGCACAAATCAGGGCTCTTGAAAGGGGCATAATGAAGCATTGGCACCAATGCAAGTATCGGTGGCCTCGTAGTGAGGCTTTGTGTTTGGGAGAGACACAATGAAATGTTGGTTTGCAGACTGGAATAAGAGAGCAGTTCATGTGTCAGAAGCTGGAGTAAGTTGTCTCTAAATAGTGTCATGGCATCCCTGCTGCTAGCGGGGAGTTACCAAGTGATGTCCTCGTGCTCAGATGCTGGATTGAAATATCAACTGTGTGGAAACTGATAGTCTGGAGGGGATGTAGGACACTATTAAAAAAAAAAAAAAAAAAGGAGGGGGAACATGGACTGAATGCATTGAAAAAAATAAACTTATGCAGGCTAGAAATTAAATTTGTTGAGCTTTAAAATATTCTCCGACTACTGTGGAGGAGTAACCTTTGTGAGGCGAATGTTTGCTCTGTTGATCAGGCTGCTTTGCTTTGCCAAAGCCATTCTCTGGTCACAGTGGGCACAACTCTGGGACTATACAGAAACCAGGCTGGTGTAAGCAGAGCCACTACAATTTTCTGTTTATAAAGGACATCAGCAATGTGACCTAGATTAAAGGTCTATCCCCAAATTGCCTATTAATGATGTCTAAAGATAGACAGGCTAGAACAGTACAAAGCTTTGCAGAAATGGAGTATCTTGGGAAGGATAGAGGAGGCAAGACAGTAAAGGGCCAGAAAAATTACTTGTGTATTGCTCCAGGTAACGCTAATCCGCTCACCAATGAGCTCAATGTGTCTCACTTGATTTAAGTGTCATAAGGAGCTTGAGGAAGGTGTTTCAAGGGATTGCTGAGGTTGGCACAACAGTTCACCCTGCTGATCTGCTGTTTTAGCTGTGTGACTAAGTGATGCTTACTAAGCGTCCCAGGTTGTTACCATATCGAGTGTAGGAAAGGGTGATGGACTCATGCATGTCCAAAAGAAATGTATTAGTGTAAATTATTTAAAGCCCCGAGCAACATTGTATTGAGGTGACAAAGGGAGTAGTAAGCTGTCTTGGGGGGACTTCTTTGACTGAAGGCATTCTTTCGAAACACTCTGCACGCGCTCAGCCTTCTGGGGGTGTTTTGAGCAGTTTAATGTTAATAAAAGAAAATTTTGCAAAACTGTTTGCAAGCTGGTTACAAAAAATGAAACTAAATTAAAAATAAAATCCGGGTTGTAGCTACATGTTCTCATCCGCAACATGGTGAAGTCTTAGAAACATCTCTGAATTTTTTGTGAAACCATATTCCCGATCCTTTCAGTAGCAATTTCAACAAATTATGATAGAAATGTGAGCACTTTTTTGTTAATCTAAGCATTTCCATCTTGTTCTCTGATTTCTGGTCTTGTGTTCTTGAGCAAGTGCATTCCTTTGACTTTACAGATACCAAACAATCACTTGTTAACAATGAAGTACGTATAGGGATATCTTTTTCTGTCTGTCCTGTTTGTCATTTAGAAAAAGTGATTGGCTGGGAAAAGTACCATAAGGTGGTAGGCATTATACCTGTGCAGATGTTGTTGTAACATAATTGCCTCTAGACCTGAGGTTTTGCAGCAAAATGCCACTTCTGATCCTGAGCTGGGCCTTAGTGGTACCTTTCATATATAGAATCCTACCTTGCTCTCATTTTAGAGGTAGTAGCCCTTCTTGAAATGAGCAGAGTATGTCTGATCTGCAGTGATATCTTCATAAACAAAATGTACTGTGTCAACTGCCTGTGTTTTGAATTCTAGAGAATTTAGGGTATAGGACAGTAATTTATAGAGCTAGATAAGTGACAGCTGGGAATGCAGCATGGCTGACAACGTTATTGCCAAGAGGTCAGTGCTATTTACCAGAGTTTATTCTAACTCTGTCCAAGACTGATGTTGCAACCCTGGCCTCCTCTCCCTGTTATTGTTATAGGACATGGTAGATATTACTTGGCTACTGCCAGGGCAACAAGAGTGTGGCGGGACAGAACGACAACTTGTTTCTCTCCCTACACTAGTGAACTAAATTGATACGCTGCTATTATGTGTAAACTATGGGTGTCAGTGTAGTTGAATCATTGGTGGGACTATGGGTAAATTGCTACTCAGTGAGTGCATCACACTTCAGACCTATTTGGGTGGTGTTGGTAGCAGGACCGCAACTGGGTTTTTCAGCAATCACATCAGTGGCAGGTTGGACCCTGAGCTCCCTGTGGAAAGGGGCCTGTCAGCAGCTGAGCCCCAGTTCCAGGGCTGACATCTTGAAAATGTGGTGTGAACTACACGGCCTGAGCATTAAAAATTAGGCTCCAAGTAGTTTTGAAAAGCTATCTCCACATATTCATGGGCAATTGCTCTCATCCGCATGTCTCTCTCCTCACCTTTCAGCACCTCATTCATTTCTCCTTCCATTTCTTGTTGGCTTTGAAGCCTTTTTGAGCAGCACTCATTTGGAGCAGCATTGCTTCAGTTCCTATCCCCTGTACCAATGTTTTTCTTGCATTCGTTTTCTTTCTGTTTTCAGAATACAATAAACCCCAACAATTTAGTTCAATCCCTGTAAGGAAGGAAATATTAATATTCATTGTTAAGAGAACCCTCTTAGCCTGTGACATCCAGTTGAAAATAATCTAAGCTTAGACAAAAATAATCAGGCTGGTATGGCAATATGCAGATGGTACTGGTTACAGTTCAGAATCTCTGTTCCATGGCTAATTTTCTAATTCCATCTAGCTATAAGTCAGCTTAAATGGCTGCCTACTAGAAAATAAAAGCCTATAGCTGTGTGTTTCTGCTGGTGTAAACCATCAGAGTTCTGCGAAGTAAATAAAAGCCAGATGATTTACACTGTCTGAAGACCTAGAAAATAAGTGTACATTTTACTCTTAATATATAAAATTAAACATATGGCATTGTTTTACTTAAATGGATTACCTAATTAGCGTAATTACTAAATCAGTTTAAGTAGCAAGTTGAAAAATTGGACTGTCCTGTCATATTTTAACTTTATTAATGTTTTAAAAGCAGTTAAAATAATTAACTTGTTGCATACCACTGAAATCTGACTGGTTTGTGTAATGTAGTCAAGGCCTCTGAAACAAAAGAGCAAGCCCTGCTTGGAGATAGAAGTTATTTGTATAGAAAATGTAGCTGATAGTATTTCTAAAATGAAACAATGCAAGAAATAGTACTGTATTTTATGGTCATAAAGAGAGCACTTCTGGAGAAGACAAAAGAGCTGCAAAAAAGGCAAGTGAAGCAGGAGGATTTTATTAATAGTGTTAGATGTATGTTTGTGGTCTTTGTCCTGTTAGTTTGCATTTCTGTGATTGCCAGTGATCTGACCATGTGCTGTGCATTAAATGGTATAGTTGATAAATGAGTCTATGAAATCTATATCTGCTAATATAATGAAAAAAGAATCCAGAGAGTTAACTTAATATGACCAGAGGAAGTAATGTTATTTGGAAGAGCCCCGTCACCATCTGCTTCACATCTGGGTGAGCAGATTGGTGACTGGCTCCCTACATTTGCTGCTTCTGCTCAAACAGGCTGACAGATGTGTGGGCTTAAGGGGTCTTTCCATGACTTGCCTTTCCTGCCTCTGTTGATTACCAGGGCTGCAGACATTGCACGTAGTGCTAGCACCCACCTCCTCCAGCAGCACCATTTAAATAGTGGTGCCCTTACTGCTACCTCGTAACATGCTGCTTTGCAAGGAAAAGGATAGCAAATTTGATCCTGACTTTTCCTAACATTTTGTGTTGGCCTTTTTGAACTTTAAGTACTTGGTGGCCAATAGGTAAAGGGAAAAGGGCCGAAACTAAAAGCCATATATCTCAGATTTGCACTACATAGAGCAGAAATGTATCAGAAGAACAAAATGGGGAGAATTTTTTTTTGTATTTGGATGGCAATTACATGCAGAATTAAAACAATGACCCACTCAGAAAAAGAAAGATCACACAAGTAAGAAAATTTCACTTAAGGTGCAGCTCCTTTGTTCCAGAGGATAAATCTGATTCAGCAAAAGGGTATTAGTATAGTTTTTCCTTTTTAAGAAAATGTCTTATTTTGGAATTCTTTAATGATTCTGAATACTGTCATTTAGTCTTGTCACAACAGGTTTTTTGGGGGATTTCCCACACAAATGCAAGGTATACTTGGAGATCTGAAAATTCTACATCTACTGTAGCATTATGACACCAACTCAGTTTTAAATAACAGAATGAAAAAATAACCTACACAACATCTATAAAAGTATACCAGAAATGTAAATTAGAAAATTCACTCTTTGTTGCTAGGTATTTAGATTTATAAGCCTAGCATTTGCTGCAGTAATTAATTCGGGGCTATTAATCCATTGTGCTGGCCTACACTGATGGACTTCTTAGTGCCAATGGTGGCCTTATAGCCCTTAGTGGTTCCTTCATGGCCATTAAATTTATTGTCTCCATGATTATCTGAACTCCAGGGAACAAGATAATGCTGTGGTACTATAATTACATTGCTAAGCAAAATATCTGTTTCTAACTGGCTTGTATTCAATAGAGTCAAAGATATTAAAACTATATTTGTAGCCAACATAATGGCTTGTTCCATTCAGTTTAAAAAAAAAACCCTTGATTTTCTTCTATTGCCAAAAGCAACATCAGAAAACATTTTCTCCTAGCATTTATTTTATTTTATGGCATGTTCATGTACTAGTGGCCTACAGGAGGAGATGTCTATCCTGAAGACCTTGTCAATTCAAGTTGTTCCTTATTCAACAGCTAAAAATTACTTGTACTATGAAAGAGTCAGTAGGATAAATGGCAGGAGGTGAGAAACTACCAACGTAAGACATCACAGACCTTATTTTATATGTTCCCTCTGTGTAAGTATTAGCCATGAGGGTGCACATAACTGCTGAAACCAGACTAGCAATCAAAGGCTAAGGAAAAGGAGCGTGTTTTAAGAAAGCATCTGAAGGATTTAACTTGGGGAAAATCGAGCATTAAAAGTAGATGCCTACCTAGTGCATGGCTTAGGCTGCTGCCAGGAATAAAAACAGCAAAACAAGCTTCAGAAAAAATCAGGTTATAGTGGAGGAGGGGGAAGTGCTGGACAGAATTCCTTTTGGTCCCACTTGAGGGAGTTTGGCTGCCATCTGTTACGTGCACCAGGCTGAAGCCTGGTTCTGTTCCCACTGATCAGCAAAAGCAAATTGGCTGACAAAAGCTCAGACAGCTCTTTCATTTATGTTGGGCTCATGGCTCTGAACTTCCTTTCATGTCAGTTGCAGCCTCAGGATTCCTGCCCGCATCTGCCATTCCCTCTGGTTGGGTGCTGCATCTTGGTCCCCAGCACGTGTGAAATGGGTGCTTCGCTGCAGGCACGCTGCATCGATGCCTTCTGAGCTCTGCTGCCTGCCCACAGCGTTCTGGTACACTATGTCCTGTAGTGACCAGAAATAATTCCATACCTATATGGGCAGTTTTGCAGCTCACATGATCAACTTGGTCTGTGCTCCCCTTAAGGCTCTGACCATTACAATATTATTTGCTGGTTCTGTCTATTGAAACCCAAGCACTTGCTTCTTAAAATCCAATGCTAATTCTGCAGACTTGGTCCCATTCTGTGTCAGCAAACATGGTGCTGTTCTTCATCCTCAGCCTATGGAGGTGCTTTAAAACGCTAAAGTCAAGAATATGAAAGGAAGGGGGAAAAGTCTGTCAGCAATTCCTTCTGAGCAGGGAAATGGTATTGACATAATGTTGCACTAACCATTTCTCTGTACAGTTTTTCTTATAAGTCAAGGAAAAAATGCCAGTCATGTAGCAAATTTAAGAAAAAAATATCCTTATTTCGGATGTGTTCTTAAAGAGGGACTTTGCACAGCTATAGTGTTGCCTTTTTAACATATCCTGATGAAGTGAAGGGAAAAGAAGACCAAATCTTCTGTAGTGTGACTGTCTGTTGTTAAATACTTGAAAGGAAGATGCTGTGTAGTAGTAGTATGAACTGCAACCTCACAGCAGTGCTGTAAATTGTATATTGATTTTAGTTTCAAAGAAGTTATTAATCTCATTCAGAGTGAGCAGCTTTGATCTACTTGCAGACCTGGCCTAGAATTTGGGAGATTTTGCTTCTATTCCTAATTCTACCTCTGGATTGTGGAATAATTTTGGAAAGAATGGCACTTCTGTGTCTTTGCGAAAACAAAAATATCATACATTTTTCATCCAAATACTGTCATTCCAAAGCCTTTCTCCAGAGTTTGCTGTGACTATAGCATGAGTCACACTTTTCTCTTCAGCCCATCACACTAGTGTTGTGGCTCTGGTGGTGGGATCTGCTTTGCCTGGTGTCTGAGCAGACCTTCCCTGAAAGAGTTTGAACTCTTTTGACACAAAAGACATGCTGCAGAGCTCATGCTGGTGATATTTTCCAGGTCTTTCATTCCTTCCATGATAATTAGAGATAAAAGGAACTTGATAGGTTCATGAGCTACTTTTTGTTTGGTTGGTTTTCTTAATGATGAGCTTATACTCCTATTTTTATACTGAAGACAGTTTTCCTGTGTTTAATTTTTTATCTGTTACATAAAGCAGAAGTTCAGCATCTATTACAATTATTTTCCAATGGATATTGTTTCTGCTTTATACAGCTGGGGAAGGGTTTGCTTTTTGCTTCCTTCCCAAGTTTCCAACTATAATTAGAAGTTAGTGCTTCAGTTCTTTCATAGGAGGCTTAGGAAACTATAACTGATATTTAGTGGCCCTCTCTGAATAGCTGAATAGGTGGCTGAGTAGCTAGTTATTTGTACCTTTTCTTTGCATGTCAGTATGTTCAAATAGGTGCTTATGAAATACTACAGAAGAATATTACTGGCAAAGGATTCTTGCCAGTGTGAGGTATTTTCTTGCATGAATAGTAACAGAGAGAACCCATGAAAATAAATTTTTTCTATTAGAGTGCACACAAAGAAGTAAAAAGCTGTTTACCTGGACTGAACAGGCTGTACTGAGGCGCTCTGGCCCCTTGGCATGATTGCACATGCCAAAAACAAAATAAAAAAAGCAAATGTCAGATTTAAAACGTTAGAAGTAGAGAAGTTAGGAGCCAGGTCCCCGGCAGCTGGTAAAATGCTGGCTGCAGTTGTGAATCTTGTCACTGCAGCCCTTACTTTGTCAGCTGTTGCCTCCACTGCTGACAAGTATTTCAGTCAAGTCACTTGAGATTCACGCTGGCACGCCGGCACACTCCGGCACTTCTCGTCTCTGGGGTTTATGGAAGGTCCCACCTCCTGCTAGTTGGGACAAAGCCCGGACTGTGAAACAAGGGTCCAGCGGGGACTCTCAGTCACTGAGTTAAGGCCGTGGGGAAGGGGATGCTGTGGCTGGTTGCTGGGGCTCTGTTCTCCTCCTGCATTTGCCTAGAGACATGACCAGGGTCCCTGAGCACTGCTGCGGGATGACACTTCAAATGGATATGGACACATTGTGCAAGTGCCTGCTGATGCCTGTTGTTATGCAAAACCCTTGGTGAGGGTGGGGGAAGTGGAAAGTTGGGGTAATTTTACTGTGAAAAGCTACAGGGTAGTTCTGAAAGCTATGATCTAAAAATGTTCTGCTTTCCTTGTCTTAAAGGAATTTTAAAAATGAAACTGAACACTGAAGAACTGTACTGTGGAAGACAGGTGTTTTAGTCAGGTTTTGTTGGTATCTGGGGTTTTATTTCTATTAAAGTAAAATGTGAAGTGCATAATATTGACTAGACTATGACAATTATTTGAAATAATTTCAATTTTACACTGAAATTGACAATTTTAAAACTCTAATTTAGCAAGTCAGTTTAAGACTGTCAGTTTTTCACAGTTATAATTAAGTAGATCTAAATTCATCCTTGAGGTTTGTGATGATGATTGGCAGGGAAATCCAATATGTATTCAGTCAAAGTAGGGAAGAAAAACTCAAGCTGAGAGGGAGCTGTAAGGTTTACCTCTCGACAAGCCTCCTCTTGCTTATTGGGGCTTCACACCCCATAATCTGTAATTCAGCCTCCCATCCGCAAAAGAGATACATGATTTTCTTTTCCTTCTGTAAAACAGGAGCCTTCTCCTCCTGTCTGCATATATAGCATTCGGGATTTTCATCTCAGCGGTGTTATCAAAGTGCCACTTAACATGAAATCATAGAATACACTTTTAAGATGAAAGATTTTTTCACATCTAAAGTGTGATGGCCTTGTGTGCACAAGGGGGGATTATTTGTGAGTGGGGGGGGAGGAATGTGATTAAGAGCTATAATGTTTATGGGTAAAAAGAGTCAGAAATGTAAGGAGAAACCTGACTCAGGTGTGATTTATAAGCATTCAAATCAGGCTTAAACTAACCTACAGACAGTAGCGGAGAAGCGCAAGCAGAAATGGCACTGTGGAGAGTAGGCAGCAAGGCGAGGAAGAGCATTGGAAAAAAGAATGAAGTAAGTTACGACCGCAATGTCCTGTGGGGAGTTTGGCAAGCCAGGAAACAAAACCAGTCCTCGCAGTTTCCATTCTTTTTTCCTATTTAGCTTTGACAGAGAGGAGTGAAATGTATTAATATATGACTTTGTCTCAAGTTTTATCGATTTTTTTTTTTTGCATAGCACTTCTTTAATTTTAATTGGAAAGTAAAATATCCTCAGCATGTCCACTAGTCTAAGTAGTGAAACACCTGGGCCATTATTTGACTTGGGCAGCTGAGTGGGGGTGGCAAAGAACTCAAAATTTGCACTGACTTCAATGAGGAATGGCAGGAAAGAAAATCAGACAGGCAGGTCTGATAGATGAGCGGCAGCCGTATTTAGCAGAGGAAGGCAACGGGGTCTCTAAACAAGCTGCATTCTGTGTGGTCCTCCCTGAGGCTCCATGTTTCAGAATTAGTTTATTAAAGAGCAAGGTCACCATGATTAATTGTACAACCAGTATAACTTCTTTGCTGTGCCGGATAATTACTGTTTTATGCTTCTGTTTGTAGTGGATGCAAAGGCAAGTGTTTCACGGGATAATGTGGCCATTTCTTCCCTGAAGACAATGGAGCAGAGCCCCGTTCCTGAGGCGGGCGGGCAGAGTCTCGGGAGCGCTGCCAGGGCAGCTCTGCCATCTGCTAAATCCCACTCTGTCTTCGCGTTTTCATGGTCTGTACCAGGGCGTACTGAAGCTCCAGCTACAGATTCATCAGTTGGATCTGCAAAACTTGATGTCAGCTCAGAGGCGCCCGGAGTGAACAAAGCACCGAGTGACAGCGCGGAGGTTCCCGCAGCAGCTGTGCGGGAGGAAGGGGCACATAAAAACCTGACCCAGGCCCCGCCAGCAGCATCGCTTCATGACATCGATCTCACGGCGTCGGTGACACCTGAGGGAGAGGATGCAGCTGCTTCAAAGCCAAAACAAGTAAACTTCTTTGACAGGATCTTCAAACTGGAGAAGGGAAAGGAAAGGAGTAAAACACAAATTGATCCCCAGGAGGAAAGGCAGACTTCAGACCTTCCTGACGGGTGCATCACGGCGAAAGAGGCTGCTGGATTACAGAGCACATCAAACAGTGTCCCACAGGGGAAGGCAAGTGCTGGAGTAGGAATATCCATTTCTCTCTTCCTGAAACCTCTTAGGAACATTAATAGTGCGGGACAGCTTGATGTCATGATGGCTGTGTGAATGAATTGGTGTTGCTCTTAAAATTATTGCAGGTAGCCCCCCGCAGGGGTGGCTGGGTAGAGGTATGGGAGAAGAGCCTATGGCAGAGTGGTGATAGCACTGATGTCTGCCTCGTGACTAAATGCTGGCACCTGACCTTGAGATTAATTTCATTTGTATTTCTCTGAAAGGTTTGGGCAAGATAGCCGTGTTTGTGCTCCGATTGCCAGGATGATGAACAGCAGCCAGTTACAAATGAAAGCAAAAATACCTGAAAGTAAACTGTTTCTTATGCTTTAGGAGCTGGGAGTTTAACACTGGGTGGTTTTAAAGACATTCTTTAGCATGTCTTTTGCCATTCTTACAATAGTCACTCTTCTTGAGCAATATGCATATCCTGCGTACCAGAATAAGGAATATTGTGCAGTAGCAACTTTTGCACTCTTAGCTATTGTGATTTTTTTTTTTAGTCAAGAAAACATGGCCTCTTAGAATTGATTTTTCAGGATGAAAATGTGATATAGGAAATTAACTTACCTGAGAGAGTACACTAATCAAAGAAAGGAGCTGAAAATAGACACGAGTTTAGATTTTAACTTCCTGCAAAGTTTGATATCAGCTAATATACTATAGGATTAATTTTTGTGTAATTAACTACTGCAAAAGCTCATCCCCTGGATGGGCATAAGTGGCATAACTCTTATTATTTCTGCTGGAGGGGTGCCAGTATACACTAATTGGTGATCTAGCTCACATCCCGTCCAATGTCAGCAACAGGAGGGAGAAATTAGCTGCATGGCTCCCTCATCAGAATCTATGTGTAAATGTCATTTTAATAGTAACTGCTTTTATTGGCCTAGTTGAGGCTTACAAATAAGATTGCTGTATGCTCACTAGTGCTTTGAATAGTGCTGAACATAGTTCACAGGATGCTCACTGCTTGCACTGATGACATGGTAGGTTGTCCCCCAAAATCTCTTCAATTTCTACCCTTCTACCTTGTCTTCTCTATCTAATACCTCCTCAAATTTTGAAGATCACACTTCTTGTATAAACTTGTAATATTTTTCTGAAGATACATTTGTAAGAATAAACAGTTGCATTTTTGACCATTTCACTTTAAAAGTGGCACCCAGCACCAGTATTTCACACAGCTACAGGTGCACCTTTAAAGAATCCATAGTCCCAACCTAGCAGAATATCAAGTCATTCACTACATAAACAGAACAGGATGAATAATCCAGAATGAATAATCTATTCAGTGTATACTGGCACTTCTGTTTGTAGCTTACAAGATTGAAGCTTTTCAATACTGTAATTTCCTGCAGATATGTTTGACTAACACACAAAAAGAGTAAGTGGCTCACAGGAATTGTTACTTTTACAGTCAAATGCAAAACTCCTAAGTTCCTATTTTGCTCTGATTGCAAACTACAGAGTGTGAAAGGTCACAGTTAGTGCCGTTGTAGTACAGTGTGAAACTCTCCGAAATGAAATAATGATCTGAAGTAGTTTTAACCAGAAGTCAGAGCTAAATATTTGCTGGTGGTAAATAGTCACGTTGGGAAAACTCAAGTAAGTGTTTGTAATCAGCAGCCATCTGGGGACAGGATAGACAACCCAAATTTTATTCTGACAAGTCAAACAAAGACTAGAAGCACTGTTCATTCAGATCAAACTTTTTTATATCAATAATGCCTAGTTTTCCTATTAATTTTTAATTCTGTTCTAGTCTTCAGTTTCCACATCCTGCACCTCACTAATGGGAATAATCTGGAAATCCCAAGCACTCATCAGCTGTAGGTTATGTTTGGTATGTGTGTGAGTGTTTGCAGGATCCCAGCCCACACAACAGCTCTTAGGTGCCTGGGGGCCTGCTTGAGGACAGGTGTCCTGTTTAACAAACGCGCTTGGACACTTTTACACGTGTTCTTGAAGCTGTACCACTGACAGTCTTTGAGGACGCACAAAATCAGGGTTCCAGTTGCTCAGTGTAAATAAGTGACAGAACTGTATCGCAGGGGGAAAGTGAAATTTTGACCTCATCCTTGAATTTCTGGACTATAATTTTTGTCTGTCTTCAAATACGAAAAGGAGTGTACATTGGGGGCAGACAGGAGTTGGGGACCTTTTCTGGGAAAAATACATCAACTAAACACCTCTGATACGTTGCCAAACTTACTTTAACTCCATTTTTAAAACAAAGGCTGTGGCTCTGCCTTGCAGCACAGTTGCCTTCTGTTCCCTCTAAAGTTGCTAGTTCTCATGCAGGATGGGAGAATGACCAAGTCTAATTTAACTGCTGTTACTGTAGTAACTACAAACTGTTACCAAATAATCATACTAAAAATCCAGATATTGCTGCCAACAGTTTCTTTTTTTTCTTTTTTTTTCTTGGTGGATTATGACTTGTAGTATCTGTAAAATCTAAAGGCATAGCAAAGTTTCCCTGAATTGAGTGCCAACACAAAACAAACAGCATTGCTGGTAAGTAAGAGAGAGGCTCCACAGTTGTAGCTTAAGAGCTGCACAAACATTCTGTGTTTGGTGAACCACTCTTTATTTTTGTGGTCTACAAAACTACATTCAGAACACAGCATAATTAAAACAAGGACAGAATTCATGAATTCATGAAGCATTTACTATGTAAGCCAAAGAAAAGATAAATTATATGCCTGAAATGTTTCACTGAGCCATGATTCATACAAACAAAAGTGCTGGCAGGAATACATTCTTTTGATATGTTTTTCTAATGACTGAACTGAAACTACAGTGTAAGTATTTAAGGTGCTCATTACCCCCAAATTTGGCTCCTCAAAGAAATGAATTGAACATTTTCATAGTAGCTGTTAACTTCTAATACTGACTTTCTTCTGTTATTTCTAGAGTTTTCTTTCATTATTTGCCTCTGGGGCTTTGTGCAGCACATTATGCAGTGAGCTGCTACACAGGTTTTTTGCGGTTATTTGACTATGGCTCTGAAAATGTGATATTGTAGGACTCCACATTATCTGTCCCTGATTTAGGGGCTGATGGCCTGAGTCTGTGCTCTTCCCTGCAACAGTATTCCCATGAAACAAGATGGATCGCAGCATCTGTTAAAGTCCAGATTTGAGTTTGTATCTCGGTAGCTAATGGAAGCTTTTTCTTGGGAATCCCAAAGCAGGGTTCCTTGTGCAATAGTGGGTCATTATGGGGCCACTTTGTGCTCTGCAAGTCAGAGTTCAGGGATTTTTGCATAGCGTCCTGCCTCGAGCTCTGCACAGTCTGCAATAGCTTTCACTTTTGCCAGGCAAAGTGTGGCTTTAGCAGGGAGATACCCTGGAACAGCTAGTGCTGCCAGTGGCGGTACCTGTCACTTCTGCAGTTGTCCCAGGTGGTGCTTGCTGCTGCTAACCACTGTTCACTACAATGCTCAGCAGAAAGATCCCTTCCTCCCAAAGAGAGTGCAGCCCAACACCTTGTGCCCAACCAGCTTGCGTGTGTAAAAAGAAAAAAAAAAAATTACTTGTTTTTTTTGATAGCATCAAGTACTTTGGTTATGAAGCTAGTTTTGTTTAGCAACAGATCTTCTGCCTCCTGCTTCTTTGGTCTCTTGCCTTGAGCCTTTGTTGCCCCTTTAGCATCTGAAATAGAGCCAGCATTTTTCATATGACCAGAGCTCTTTAGATGGCAGCCCAGGAAGCAGGGCTGCCGAGGCTGGCGTGGTCACGCATCTTCTGCATGGGACATATTGTTCTTGGAGCCACTCTGGCCTGTAACTGGCAGCTGGACAAGGTGGTGTGTTAGACCCTTGTAAAACTTCTAAATAGCCTGTTGAAGCACTCTGAACTACTGTGCTGTGTTTCTTCCTGGGTAAACTTGGAGACTGGTGGGTGGAGAATTAGACAGAAGTCTGTTATTGCAAGTAAAACCTTGTGTATTTTAACTCCTTAAATACTGCATGGAGACTGGCCACTCCATGCTCGTCTTTCCTGATGCCAATTTAGCCCTCTGAAGTTTTAAAACATTTATTCATTTTTAGTCTACTCTTTCCTCTAGTGACCTACAAAAATGTATGTCCTCTGCAAATCATATACAAATATCGTGGGGTTTTAATCACCTAGTAGAGGGAAAGGTTCTAAAGATTACAATTTTATTTTAACTTTTCCTAGTAAAAATGGCGCTGAACGATTGTCTAATTGTCAGGTTAGGAAAAAACCTTGGTGTCACTTAATCCTCCAGGCAGTCTGGGAGCAGTGATTCAAAGATGTTGTTTACTGGAGACACCTGGACAGGCTCAGTAGTTTTATTTCTTGTCCTGATTTTTCCTCTGGAGTAATCTGGGCCTCTAATATCCTAACAACCGCCTTTCTAGTCACTGTTTCCTGAGTGACCAGATGTGCACTGCTGTCTAAATAGTTGGGGATGATAACCTCCAAAGAATTATGGCACTGGTATGATTGTCTGTTCAATAATGTCTCAAATCCCCTACCAAAGTCAAGGCCACCATCACGCTAGGCACAATTTGCTTTAATAATAATTGACAGATCCAGCCCTGCACTTAGAATGCAGATGGATAGAGGGAGGAGGATTATTGGTAACACTCGGACGTTACTAGCCAGATGTAGTACTCTTAAATATTAAAAAAGGAAATGCTGAATGGGATGTGAGGACTTGTCTCAAGGTGCTCTTCCCTGCACAACATTTGTGTTGGCTTCACCTGTGCAGGCTAAAGGTGAAAGTGGCCAGAATGGCAGGAAAATTCAGTGTAAAAGGGTGCCAAGCTCTCCAAAACTGGTCCAGGAAGAGGTTTTTAAAAACCAGACCCTTGTTTAGGTGTCTAAACAGAAATTGAGTAACTTAATATTACATACTTGTGAGGGCTTGAGCACTGGAAAACTATTTTTGGACTCTGGGAACTGTAATTCCAGGAAGAGAGGAGGCAGCTCCATCTGGCTCAGAAGAATTACTTTGAGTTTTTCCTTTTTTTCCTTATTTTAATCTGTAACATGTTTCTGTTTGCTAGATAAAAATTATTTCTGGAATTGCAGAATACAGAATATCGGAAGCAATCTTTGTATGGTACAATGAGACACTGAGCTGTCAAAGGCCAAAATCTCAACATTTGTTCCTATTCACAAGTTCAGTGTTGGAAAGAGAAAAGCAGTGTTGTTTGGGATGCCGTGTGCAACTTTACTTGTGTTTGTTATAGTTGGTAGCTGAGGACAATGTTCCTCCAACCAACAGCAAATGCTGAATATATTAGAAAAGAGGGGAGAGAGATGTATAAATGCTCCATTGTTCTGAATACGTAGGCTGGAGAAGTATGGTTGGAATTGGGGTTGTGACTCTCAGAGCAACATAATGCAAGTCACAAATGTTACTCTTGCATTCCACTGGAAATGAAGCAAGCTAGGACTGAGGAAATTCTGCCCCCCTTTTTTTAGGAGATAGATGACTGCAACAGAAAAGACCTACAGCAGGGCTCGGCAGGTGTCAACGGTCTCACTGCTGAGCAACCTGAAAAGGCAGAGGTAAAACAAGACAACCCCCAACCAGCTGCTGCAGTAGATAACTCCGTCATGAGTTTCCTTAAAACACTGGTAAGCTTTTGCCTTTCCTTTTCATCCCCTGGGTATGCTGCAAGTTGTTTATGAAAATCTGTTGTGGACATGTTGAGCTAAATGCAACATGTTCGCTGTCATGGGCACTGAGAAGTAATGAAGCCAAACAGGGGCCTTAGAGAATGACTTGAGTGACAGAGAGATGTGTAAGTACAGTGCAGTCACGACCAAATGATGACACCTACTCTGGAAACTTCCTCTTCTGCATATACTTGTAGACCTGGAGGTATTTAGCTGTCTTAAGGATTTTCTGCATGAGGAAACTTTATTTTGTAATATCTTTAAAAGTTCATTTTTATAGATTAATTGGATGTATAAGCTTGAATAATATAGCCTTGATCCAGATATTTTTCATTTTAGCCATGACTAAGTTGTTCTCGAGAAACATTTATATTATAAATTTTCCCACATGGGGGGGAAAGCAATATTTGTACTTCTTTCATCTTTGTGCTAGAAAAAACCTGCTAGTTTCAAACTGAAACTTTCAAACAAGAGACGGAGTTGGGTGTAACTGTTTGTTTCTCTCAAATACATTTAAGGTCTCCCCAAGCAAAGCTGAAGCCAAAAGTGATTCTGAAGACAAGGTAGGCAGATTACTCATTCTGTCACTGGTCACTAGATATTTCTGACACAGGTACATCCTCTTTGTGTTGCTTTTTTTCCCCAATTGATGTTATTTGAAGTAATTTGAAATATTTTCCCCTGAATAAATTTGAAAGGAAGATGAGCTTAAACAGTGCAATGCTTCATATCATGTTACCATAAAGATCTGAATGTAGCACTTTTTGCAAGGTTGATGAGGACCTGCTAATACTTTTGGTTGTTATTCTGACTTGTCCTTGACAAGGTCCCTGCAGTGAAATCCTCCTGAGTCTGCAGAAAACACGATTTGCTCATAGAGCTGTGCCAAGCTCCTGGTTTTTCATTTCTGACTGTGTATGTACACGTCTCCTTTATCTCTCTCCACACCTGGGGAGATGCCACATCCTGGTGGGCAGCACTTGTGAGGTTCCCCTGCCTCTGGCAGCTCTGGGGCTAGGTGGGCAGGGCGTGTGGGCAGGCGCCTGCTCCCACCCTCCCGCCCTGCAGTGCACCCACAGCTGCTGCTGGGTCCCCCCTTGGGGTGCAGGAGGATGGGCAAGGATCAACTTCCCGCTGAAATCAGTAAAAAGCAGAAAGAGATCCCACCATTTCCTCTCTGGGACTCACCTGGCTGAAGCACCCCTGTATGGACTGTGCTACAGTCAGGGGCGATGGGCTGCTCCTGTGCAGCAGCTGAAGCCTCAGGAAGACAATGGAGCTGCTCTGAGCTGGACTGGGACTTGCAGGGTGAGCTGTCCTGCCCCGGCCGCTCATGCAGAGATGAGGATCAGGGTTTTTTTAAGTGGGGTGAATTGAACACTCAAGCTGTTCTAATACAATGCATCAGGCTGACTGCAAGTGGGTGTGATGGTCTCTCAAATCTGTATTGGCTGGGCAGGTACAGAACCAGAATGAGACACTCCTCTGTCTAACAGGCAGATGTGGCCTCTTGCTTTCCCCTTTACAAACCATTTGTTCTTGGATTCCCCTGGCAAGGGGCAAATTGTTTTCATCATCCATGAGCAGTGATAGCCCTTTATCCATGAATTCAGAAAATCTTCGTTATTATAGCTTTCATTTGTTATTAGAGATATGAAAGTATCAGATTGATACAATGTATTTAAACTTAAAAAAAAAAAAAAATCCAAAACACAAAAATGTGGAAAAACCTAAACTGTAAAAATTCAGTTAAAAACAATCTTCTAAATGGAAAAATGTAGGTATTTAAAGAGTTCTGCATTCTCCTTTTTTCCTGTTCTGTTAGTACCAAAACTTAAAATAATTTCAACAGAAGCAGAAACGAGACAATTTGCTTTAAGATGCCTTCTAGCTCCTAGTGTTTCAGTGGTTTGCATGCATATCACTGATTGCATAACTGGGAACTTCCAGATTAAATGCTCTTAGACATTGTTATGTCTAAAATAACTAAAGCTTTTCTTGCAATGCCTGTGATAAAATTTAATTAACACATAAAGAATAAAATCCTAATAAAGGAAATGGTCTTTCCACGCAACTATTAGGTAGCCAAAATCACTATAGGCATAAACATTTTTGTTTTCTATTCTATTTTTCACCCTTTTTGTCCCATTCAATTTTTTTTATTATCCCAGTACTAAAACAGTGAAGTCAGACTTTCCAGAAAGCCTGGTGAGTACACGGGGGGTACACACCACTTCCCAATTGTAGCTCAATGATTCTGTAAAATGTCAGCCAAGGCTAAGGTCTTACAAGGTACCCAGAAAAGGTAGCTATCAAATTGCTCTGTTTCAGTGAGACTTGTAGCTCTTTCAACAACTTCTGAAAAATCCAGTTGTTCCGTCCTGTTTGCATACCTGACTATCAGGCGTACCCACGTGCTTCTGTAACAGGTGACTGTTGGTGTGGGTGTACTGTAATTTGGAAACAAATATGCTGTTTGGGTTTGGTTTGATATCACACCTGTGAGGGTAAACAAATCCAGGTGACTAGCAGGATATGGAAATTTATACAGAGTTTAAATGAGTGGATTTTTTTTATTAGTAATTCCTTTGTCTTCACTATCTTCCTGATACGAAGAATGACATTTTCTCTGTAACGAAGGAAAAACGTGTTAAAAAGGGTTCATTTATCAACTGCCATATAAAAAAGCTGCAGATTTTTCAGCTGATACGCATAAAGATATAATGGTCACTTTTAAACATGAAGTTATGTTCTTGGGTGAGGCTTTCCCCTTTGTGCAGTTTGAGCCTCCCCTGAGTGCCGTGGGCCTTTCACGTGGTTTGGCTGGCACAGGGACGGCTGTGCCTTTGAGTCCTGGTTGTGCTTTCATTTTGGCTGCTTGGGTGCCCCTTTGCAGGGAGGAGCTGAGTTTTATCACGCCAGGGCCGGTACATTCCCAACGTCTCTCAGCGATGCTCTCCCATAGCTAAGAGGACAGACAAGCTTTCTCATAAATCTGAGAAAAAGCCACAGCCCGCTGCAGCTGTGAAGCACGGCAGCATACTCCCTCCTATCAAAATGGGAAGGTGTGAGGCATCAGTGAAGCTGAGCTCGGTGGTTTTAGTAGCAGCATGCTGTCAGCAGTGACGTCTCTGGCTTTAACCAGCTGGCTAAAGACATGTATGCTTTCAGCAGCCTGTGCACACCCGTAAAGATTGTCATTTCATCTCTGTAAACAGAGTTTAATATGGCTTGAGTCAACTTCCTTGGATTAATTGATCCTTTGCAAGTTTACACAAACCAACATGGTGTTCGGATCAGATCTGCCCCAGATCACCTATCTGACCCTTCTGTAGCAGATCCCGTCTTGTTCCCGCAGCACTGTGCGTTTGGGAATACTGACAATGGTCCAGACTATTGCAGGGAAAAATGCCCAATTTTGACTCAACTGGCCACAGCCTCTTCATAGTATAAAGCACTTTCTAGGAAGCATGTAATTGCACTGAACGAAATAATCTTGAGACCTAGATCTCAACTTCACATGCTCAAACGTGTTACAATCTGATCTCTGGACCTTTCCTCCTACCTTATTAGTTGTGGTCAACCACAGTGCTTGATACTTCCCATTGTAAATACCATAGGCTGATTGTTTCTTTGGAGTTTGGGTCTCTTCATGTTTCCATAGTTCCTGGAAATTTTTATCAGCTCACTTTAAAGCTTTTTACTGATTGGAAGCTTTTATTTTTGCCTTATTCAAGTGTAAAAGAAAACAGGATGAAGCTTGCGAAGGGGCAAGCTGATTACCTGGGAGGTAAATACTTGGGTCAGTTGTCATTAAAATATAATCTTTAAAATCTGTACTTCACCATATATTGGCCTGATTCTTAATTAAATCAGGAAATAAATTCCCTAAAGGAGAGCAGAATGAAGTCCAGGACAGTAGCAAGTGAAAAATACTACATACTCCTTTGTACTAGGTAATCACAGGCAACTTACTGCTTTAAAACCTGACACTGAGACACTGAAGAGTGAAGAATGCTACCCATGGCATTCGTGATTTGTCATACGTTGTGGGCATAGGCACAGTGTAGACTCTTGTGTTAACTTGTTTGTATGTTGAAGCTCAATTAAGCCACCTTGAGTACTTCTGGTTTTTTGTCTCCTCACCTTTTTTTTATTACTGAAAAGATTAAAATGGTGGGGAAAGGAAAAAAAAAAACCCACAACAAAAGCAAACCCTATTGTTCATAACATGAAAAAACCCTAAGCTTCTTTTTCCTGCACTGAAAAATCCAGAGGGTTATGTTGAAGATGGGGGGGGAGGAGTGGGATAACAACTACTTGAAGAGTGAAGATTTGAGGAGTTACTCCAATTATGATTTTTAAAAACACGTTTTTTCCCAATGCTGCAAAAAGTTAAATGAAATTCAAGTTTTTCTAAGACTTTTCTATAAGTCGTGTATTTGAACAGGTCCACCTCTACCCTATGCAGGGTAATTCAGTCTGCATTGACTGCAGCGAGTCTGCTACTACTTTTTTAAAATAGCCTGATAACGCTTCTTCCCATATAGATACATATCTATCTATGTTTCTTTTATAGCCCTTTGCAGTGGATTTTTCAAGGTGCTGCCTACTTTTTTTAGAGATCCAGTCTCTAACATCAGTGGGAATATGATTCCCAAAACAAGTGCCTCCTGCAGATATTAGAACAGAATGAAAAGGAAGCAGTGCTCATTCGATGCTTTTAGTATCAGTCTGTCATTATTATTTTTCTGACATTTTAATTTCTAACTAATTTCATGAACATTACTGCAAACTTGGAATATTTTATGTAGTATCTCATGAATACTCATACTGCCCTTTTCCTAAGAAATGCTTTATGCAAAACATCTTAAAGTCCGTATAATACTGCAACAAAAAGAATGAAAGTATTTTTAAAGATTTATACATTTGCCTGCTTTAAAATTGTAAATCCCAAATTCAGTTGATTATTCACGAATTTAAGGTACAGAAGTTTGTCTGTGGAATTTGGGACTCAATGGAGGTTTGGGGGGGCAGATTGTGGTTTAATTTTGAGTCAACTGGATTGCTCTAGCTTTTATATTTATTTTGCTACCTATGTGAAAGGAAGTCTAAGCAGAACTGAGTAATCACTCAGAAAACATAATTTGTTGTCCAGGGCAAAAAGGGAATGTTTGCTTTTAATACTACACATATGACTGTTTGAATGTCTTTCATGAACCAAATAAGAACTTTGCAATAATTTCTCAACTGCAAATGCTGTTGTGCAAAAGGGATCGAAAGCGGAAAAAGGCCATGGTGGGCAACCTGCTCCGAAGACAGCAGCAGAATCCCAGACGAAAGGAGCCAAGAAAAAGAAGGCAGAGAGTCCCAAGCTAGGACACAGTACATTTAGTAAACTCTTTAGGCACAAGGTCTGTATGAAACTCTAGCAAGAGCAGAACCCTGAGCAGTAACAGATGGCTCCTGTCACAGAGAGAAGTTACTTAATTGGTAACTGAAATCAGCATCTGGCCAGCTGTGCAGTGTGCTGAAAACTACTGGCGTGAGCATTTCGTGCCATACACTATGAAAACGACCTTCACGTGCAACATTTCTCTGGTTATACCATCTGTGAATTCAGGTTTCTGAAACAATTCCTCTAACCTTCCCTGCTACAGGCTTCCCAGTTACACTCACTAACGCTGACTAAACCTCCCTGGCTACTTAAAAATAAAAGCAAAGGTACTGACAAACAATGGATTATGCTGATATGAACAGCACCTGCAGTTGTAGGAGAGGTGTAAGAGCTCAGTCCAACTACAATTAAGGCTTTATGATCCACATTGCCTTAACATTTGCTGTCATGTGGTTAAAAGAGGTGATTTGGTGAACTTGGGCATCTGATATAGCACAGAGAAGGCTGGAACATGGAATTTCCTTCAGGAATAGTTACTTTTCACTGGAAACAAGAAAAGTAATTGTTGATTGAATTCTCAGTTCAATTTGAAGGGAAAGTCTGGTTTTCAAGGATACTTTAAAGTTGTTCAAAATGCACATTGTTCATGTGAATGATTGTTTCAGAGGACATTAGCTTTTATCTTAAAGAAAAACCACTGAAAACTTTTAGTCTCAAGGTCCGTATTTGGTCATTTCTGCATTCTCTGAAGATAATCTGCTATGATGTTCTGTGGCAGTGAAGCAGAGAATTGTAGCCTTTCAGGCCAAAGAATGCAGAAGCAGAGACCCTTTCACTGACGGAGGAAAGTAATTAATATTTAATGCTCACTCAAAACACCCACATGGAATTTCTGGTGAGTAGGGGGGCTTTACAGTCAAGGGCACAAGGCAAAGGGAATTCTTTAAGATAATTTCAAAACAAAAATGTCTTTCTGCTGTCTCATTTTTGAGATGTCATCTGCATATTACTGAAGAAATTATAGTCTTCCCAATGGTTTGAAGTCTACGGTTCTTGCCAACAGCTTAAAGTTTAGATCTCATCTTGTATCATACTACATTGATAGCTAATAGTTTTGATATTTAATTCAATAAAATATTAATTACTTGTTCATAACGGATTAGGGCTTCCTGGTAAAAAACACACCTGGCTAGCATTTTTTAAGGTGCTAATCCTCTTCTACAACAGTTCAAATTCTTGCAATGAGTTGTTAGGAGAGATGATTGGTTTTTTTATTAGGCTATTTGATGGAATTTTAAAGGCTTTCAGTCTAGAATGAAAGCAGTTACCTTGAAGGAATGCAACAGCACTAAATTTTTATACTGATAAAATCTGTCTTATAAAATGTCATTACTTCTTAAATAGTTTTTTCTTGTTTCTAAGTTTATTTTCACAGCTTTCTTTCCATATACAAAATACAGAAGCAATAACTAGGTATCATTTATGGCATATTAAAAATAAAGGAGATGGATTAAAACAGTGCCAACAGTTTGTTTGTAAGGCTGATTGAAAGTAGAAATTCAAATCAGCACTGATGTGACAGGCTAAGCCCTGAAGTTATCACCTCTAGTAAAAAAAAAAAAAGTAGTTCTGTTTATCTCACTTCATTTGAAATGCCTTACTGTGGTGTGTCAACTAGATGAATAGGTAATGAATTCCTTTATTTGAATTTATCACTTTAATACATGTATTCATATTTAATTTTAAGCACTTCACTGTCTTCTCTGAAAGTTCTTTCTCTGCAAGTCTTCCAAAATGCACTTCTCCATACCTTAGCTAAGAATAGATTGACCACTATGTTAACAGAAACATAGTTTTTCAGTGCCCTGTGTTTACATGAACGCTAACTTCAAAGCAACTTCTGAATGTTGTTTTCAAACAGCAAGGTGCATCCTAATACAAATCCATAACACAAGCAATGAACTGTGATTTGGCCATTTGACCTCAGACCGAGTTTGGATGGCATTTGACAGTTTGGGTCCTGTCTGTTCTTTTATTCCCATCCGTGTATATTTGCCTTGCGTTGCGTGTCAGTTTTGCAGTACGGCTGTACTGATTTACGGAATTTTTACTTGGAAGAGAAGAGTTAATTGCATTTTCAGCATTAGTACTGAAGTACACTACTTCTTACCACTTGCTCTGGATCTTGTTCATTAGAGCTAACCACAAAAAGTAGTTCTTGGCTCCTGCAGAATAATTCTCACCTATTCTTTCAAGAAATCCACAAAGTGTGTGGCAGGCTGCCTAAACCCAGGGGTAATGGGCTCACATTTACTTGAGTTTGTGGATTGCTGCTCCTCTCTTTGTACAGCTCAGATATTCATCTTCAGTGGAAGCTATGCTGAGTGTTAGGGTCAGCAGATCCCGGTATGAATCGCTGGCCAGGAAGGAGTTTAATAAACTGGATCCCTCCTGGCTTTGTGTATTCTGATGAGATGAGAAGACCTGTCACTGAATGATTTTTTTTTTTTTTTAACAAAAGGATAAATCCCATTTAATGTATAAAAGCATGAGGGGATGGACTAAACCAACCTCCAGCACCTGCAGAGCTTCTCTTTGTAGTGCTGCAGCTCCTGCTTTGGAGTTATAAAGCCACTGCTGTTCTGTGCCCTTCATTTCCAGGCAGCCATCTGCCTATGTTTTGTATCCCAGAAAGCAAAGCTTCCCGCTCTGGAAGTGACGTTAGCACGTCCCTGACCCGTGTGCGCTTACCCCAGTGGGAAAGACCCGCTGAAAGCTGCACATGCAGCCCCAGCTCAAAAATCCCTGTTAATATCTTAAAACCCTGTGTAACATATTACCTGAAGACACTGGGAATGCAGATGTAAATACACATTTTTAAAGAACAAGACTGCAAGAACAGCAGCGTGAGCACAGAGCAATTCAACACAAGGCTGTAATGCTGCTGCAGGTAGAAGGATGGGAGCTGGCAGTTCCTTCAGGCAGCCTCGCCTCTGCCAGGGATCAGTTTCCATGGTTGCAGGAGCCAGGACTTTCACAAACATTCACTAAAAATAAAATAATTTGACACAGACAATTCCTGAACTGTGTAACTGAGTACTGATGTTGCCAGAGACAGACTTGTCTTTGTGTTTTGTTTCCCTTCAGGCTGCAAAAGAGACCCAACAGACAACTAATACCAAAGTGAGTAGGATGATTCAAGTTATCTGTATGAATAACGCAGTCAAAGGGTAATTATTCTCACTGTCATTTTCAGTCTCAAAGACAGTGTTTTAATTTCTTTATCAGTTAACCATCTCTGTTACAAAGGGTGAGCTGCTACATAATTCGTTTCCTCTGTTCAAGACATTACTTCACTTGAAAGGCCAGGGATGCAGCTCATAAGCTGTGTCTTGTTGCCTTGCCTGTCCTGTGCAGTGGTGGTTTGCTGTGCGTTTACCTCTTGCACCAGGTGATGCCTGGACCTGCTGTGAGCGTCTTGTCCTTCACACATTTCCAACAACCTTTGTTTTCGTGTTTCCTTTTAGAGTGTTGAACAGCAGCCTGTTACCTCTGTAAAATCAGACAAAAATGTCCCTTCCCTTCAAGAGCCACAGACAACTAAGCAGAATACAAAAGGCCCAGAGCCTGCAGCCCTACAGCAGGCAGTGGCCAGCGAAGCCCCCAAAGAGGTGACGAAGGAGAAAGCATCATCCACTCCTACGCCGCTGAGCAAGCTCTTTTGGAAAAAGGTATGTCTGAATTTTGGAGCTGGTCCATCCCACAGCTCTGTCTTCACATAGCATTTAGAGTTATTGCTAAGCATAAAGTCACAGTAAAGCAGTCAAATGTGCACAGTTGAGCACATTCCACATGCTAAAGGCACAAGGGGCATAAACAATATATGCACGTACAAACGTATAGGTGAGCTTTGGGCAGTCACATATGTATGTGGCTACTAATGGCAGTTAGATTCCTGCAGAAGAATCTTATAAAACATAGTCTTTCAAACCTGTCTGTAGTATTTTTTAATGATATTCTCTGTCCATTCACACATTTGTTAAAAATCCCAGATTATAGCACTTTAACAAATTGTATCATTAATAGAGATACAGCTATAAAAAAAACAGCATTTCATTTTTGAAAAATATATGCTTTAGTTCTAAATGAAAACCTGCAATCTGTTGGGTCTATTCTTACTCAATAGAAAAAGTTTCATATCAGAGTGGATCAGTCTTTAAGTCTGGGGATGGAGGCTGACTGCCTAAGACACATTTTGCGTCAAGTTAAATAATTATTTTAATGAAAATTAGGACTAACTTTGAAAACACAGTTCCTGTTTCCATGATCCTTATGGTTTATAAGCTGAAGATTTATTCTTTTCTCATTTTATTTAAGAGAAGAGCTGTATTAAACTTTATGGAATCACTGTGTGTTGAATAACTGCTTTCCTGGGCTTCTGTTCAAGTTCAAATCCCAGAAATGAACTGCTTCCAAACACACAGATGCTGAGTGACTAGTCCTGCAGCTTCTTTAGCTCTGTTTTCCCTATTGAGCAGTGATACTGAAGACACAGTTTGGGGGTGTTACTTACATTAAAAAACACCAAAGGTGTTTAGATATTTACAGAGTGAACATGCTTGAAAACAATCTAAGCTTGAAACATTTGTTACTTGGGACTGAATTTCCTGCAGAACTGGGCAAATCAGGTACTTGGAACGAGAGGAAAGCTGTAAAGAGGAGGGAGAAGGAGGGGTTTTTATACAGTTGTTATTGCTACAGAAACCTCCTCCTCTGAGTAGTCTGGCTTATTTGAAAGCAGAAATGGAAGTAGGATGTATGCTGAATATCAGAATGAAACAAGAAAAAAGAAAGGCTGTTTCTGGTACGTGGTTGTATGCAGTTTCAGTTAAAAATTAAAGTAATAAATCTGGTCTGGAGTTCCGTAATTTCTTGTTAGGTCTTTTGTGTTTGAAGAAGAAAAAGCATGTAAGAAGGGAACATTTTCTTGCAGAAAAATAGTGAAAATCATTCCTCTGGAGGAGAAATTGGTGGTGATGGTTTAAAAAAAATCTGATAAGGCTTTGGTAAGATTTCAAGACCTTATTTTGAAAGATTAACCCAAACTAATGTAGTTACAGACGTTTTATTGCTCTGTATAATATAGGTTCTGCCCACAGTGAACACCAGCTCCCATATCTTGTATTATAGCTAAGCTAAACTAGGTCTAAGTACCTAGTTTAGGTTTCTTTAACCTTATAACGATCTTCATGTGAAGTCCTGGGATCTCAAACATCTCAGGTGTATAAACTTGTCCCAAAACTGTCTTTCACTTCTGTTTGTTCATGATGCTGGATTTATCCTATATCACCATCAGCTGCTTACACCAGGATATTGAAAGTGTTGTAGAGAACTCTCTACAAGTCCAAGCAGGTTTTAGTTGCTACCAAAAATATTAAGGGCTGGTTAAATCATTTATGCAAATGCACTGAGCTATGATAGTATGCAAAAACTGAACTTTGTAAAATGAGCCCATTTCTGCTTTGTTAGAACTTCTTGGGTCTGGAATCATGCTGAGACCAAATGTTTTTGCAAGGTTTCTGGAGTAAATTTCCACGGTAGAGAACTGAATTTGGTCCTAAGAATTAAAAACAAACAAACAAAAAAACCCAAAACAAACAAAAAAAACCCACAAACAACAACAACCAAAAAACTGCCTGCTCAAGCATTGAATCCTTACCTATAAAAGGCTGATGTTGCTTTACTGGATTTTCTTGACAGAGAACAATATTATATTTCCTTTGATGAAAGACCCTGGTGACCCAGTCAGCATGAAGCTAAAAAAACAAGGATAGATGTAAAAAAAAAAATATATATATATATATATACTTAGACTACAGGTTAGCCTCAAACTCAGCTTGGTTTGAAGACTCTTCCTTTTTTATCTTTCTTTCTGGCACACTTAATGTACAGCCCTTTTGCTAGGATAGAGGTCTGAAGCTAGCAACTGTTCCAAATAGGTGTGTAAGTCAGAGTCATGCATAGCTTTTCTTTTGAACTAATGAATAGCAACCACAACACTCAATAGATCCAGGATTCAGATCCAGCTTCTCTCTTTCCAGGCAGTCTCTTAAATATGTCTCTTCTGATGAGCTTTCACTTCAAAGTAAAGCTAATGAAGTGCCTCTCAACACATTGCAGTTAATGCTGCTGCTCTGACTACAGACAAATAAATACGTAACAGAGAAAAAATCCTTATTCAGCTCCTTAAATGGAAACCACTTTGACTGTATTTGCCCCATTTCCTGATCAGTCTGCACAAGAATTTCATGACTTACTCAAATATTTGTCATGGTAGCTTTTTTAACACTAAGGAATATTAATGGAAAATTACAGTTAGTAATTTCACATATTTGCATTGGAAACCTGGTTTCAAGACCTTGCAGGTATCTGATCAGGGCAGAGAAACATGACGCTTCATTTATATCTGATCAAAGCATGCCAGTAAATGATGGAAGAAAGTGATTGAGGGAGTACTATTTAGACCACTCTGTGAATCATCTTTTTTTTTTTTTTTTAAATAGAATTTTAAGCTGTTGCAATTCTATTGCCATACGAACACAGAAAAATCATGCCCTTTTTAGTGAGGGGTATTTATGCACTGGTAATACAACAGCAAACTGCTTAGCTATTAAGTGAAGCAGAATAACACCCTTTATTGCTGAGCCTGCAACCATACACTGCCATAGGAAAGCAAAGATAAATATTTGGGTGGAGTGTGGGAGATGAATGTTAAAATTACCCAGGACCTACCAAGCCAAATTTTACCTGCTCCCATCCTGGAATATATCCCCTATCAGACAGGAGAGAAGGAGATTCTTGCCAGTTTTTGCTGGGTAAATGGATGAAGGAACGTGAGAGTTCCCCCTGGTAGAGGGAGTGAGGAAGACAATAAGCAACTGGCTTTTGGGGTTCATCTCACAACCTGACTACCAGCATAGCTGCCATCCTTTCAGCAGGGAGGGGCCTTAACCCCTTAACCTCCTCAACCAAATAAAACCAATAGGACTTGTGAGTCGGAACCATGCTTGTGGGCTGCTTACAGACCAGTGTGGTTTAACCATAAGCTGACAGCGGTTAATACTAATTGGTTAATAGTCTGAGCTGTTACAGCTCAGGATCTGTTGAGTGGCACCTTCAGGCAGCAGCTGCAGGTCACAGGGAGATCTAGGGTGGAGGTCCAAGAGCATGTTGGTGGCTAAAGCTCAGCTACCTTAACTGCAGCAACCTCTGTGGTCTTTGCACTAGCAAAGGAGGGCAGGAAGGTGGGTTAAAGTCTCTCTAACCCTCTCTGCTTCCTGCTTGTGAGTCTGTGAGCGGCAGGAACAGATCTCAAGCATGACTACTCTTTTAAGTGGAAATTTCTTGAGCAAAAGGTCATCTCTCATATACATTGTTAAGATAAAAGAAAAGCTGCTTCGTAAAGAAGGTACGACCCAGGAAAAACAGAAGAAATGCAGTGGAGAGTACCAGTTCAGACTCTGGCACAAGATCAAAGCAGGGCACAGTGTTTACCTCAATTTTGGAGAAAGATGCAGCAAGCAAAAGGAAAACTCCTATCAAAGTTATCAGGTCACAATATAAGTTACACTCTCATAAGGCAACAATTTGTATGGTCAGGAACCTAGATGAGAAAATGGTGTAGTAATAGTTCCCCAAAACAATAGGAGGGTTTGTGAGAACCAGAAGATGACTCAGAGTAGACACAAGCTTTCCCCACAAGTGTTTTAAGTAAGCTTATTACTAAAACAAAATTAGGGACACTGTAATTTAAAAGATGGAAAAATGCTTCCCAAACACAGTGAAAGAGCCTAGTGAAATAGTCTTAAAACACCAGTAGTAAAAATAAAATATTATTTTGGAAAAAAAAAAAAAACAACATAGTAGTTTTGCAACAGGAAGAATGAAGGATGGTGCTTATCTTCCCTCAGACAATTGTATCTTGAAATCATAGAATGGTTTGGATTGGAAGAGGCCTCAAAGATCATCTCATTCCAACCTCCCTGCCATGGCAGGGGCACCTCCCACTAAACCAGGTTGCTAAATGTTTTCTAAGCTTGACAGAGTGCCTTTAAAAAAAAGAAAAATAACTCAATGGCACTTCTGACTCTGCACTGCATAACAACAATAGCTGCTGACTTAGGTTAAATTTATTACAATTTGTGTCTGAGGAAAGTGGAGGCAGAATTTGGACCCATGAATCCAGCAACTTTGGTTGGTACAACTTATAGGTATAAGGAGATAACTTACTTTTATGAGAACATTTACGTATCAAAGACAAAGCTGATAGAGCTGGGTTGTTTGCCAGTTGTTATATACAAATTGCTGTTTCTTTCTAAAACTTGTCACAAAACTTGATAGAACTTTTGGGTTTCTCCCAGGTGAAGTGAAGAAACCGAGCCCGTTGCTCTAGAGAACAGTTTAGGTTAATGTAACATCATTCAAAGTTTGACTTCATCTTTGTCAGGCTCTTCCTATTACACTTTCAATTCCTGCCAAAAACACCTTGGTGATTCTCTTGAATGCACAAACGGAAATTTTTCTTCTAGTTTCTTAGCGGAAATAGGAACAAAGATGAAAAACTCTGTTCTTAAACGTATGTCAGAAACCTTCTTTGCTGGAAGGGGTTTTCCCATCTGCTGAGAGACTATGCATAGGCACTCCTCGCCCTTCTGAAGTATTCAATATACCATGGCCATGTGTCATCAGTCTCCAAGAATCTGCCACCTTGGTCTTATTTGAGAAGAGGATTTTGTGATGTCTCTAGAGTTTCCTTTTGTCCCAGCATATCTGAATACCCTGATCTGATTGCACAAAAGTTGTGCAGCCTCCAGCCTTGGAGATACTAAAAGCTCATTTTGACAAGTTCCTCAGCAACTTTGGGCAGGAGGCTGGACTAGGCCTCCAGAGATATCTTTGGGATCACAAAATTGTAAAAGAAAATCTTCAGCATCAGTTAGTATGGTCTTACAGAGGGAGATGGGTATACAAGAATGATTCCTGGAGGTAATCACAATAAATTTATCATAAAACTTTTAACAGCAAGCCTAAAATCTTAAACAAGATAACCTGTAACTTCTGCAATAACTTTGACGTGCCTAATAGTACCAAATTAAAGTGACTGTATAGGCACATTGGATATCTAAGTTTAAAATAAAAAAGTAAAAATAAATATTCTAAAACAGGATTTAAACTTTCCTAAAGCTGCCTATAGAATCTATCAAGAAATGTACAAAAAGTCACTGACTACTTCAAACAAGTCAATCAATATTTGGCTATCACTTAGCTCTTTATTTAAATAAGTAATGCTTTTCAGAGTTTGGCATTTCATTCCGGGATGCATTTGTTCTCAGCAGTGACACTAATGCCATTGCATAGCCATAGCTTGAGAGACAAAACTCATTTGGGCTGCAGCTGCAGCAGCACAGCAGTAATATGATCGCAAACTGCAACCTGTGAATGATGAGCTCCCAGAAGCTAGGTTGCTGCTTTATTGAGCCACTGTTTCAACTCATGCAATGAATCATTTCCTTCAAGCAAATAGATCGTGAATTGATTATATGTACGTGCGAATAGGCAGAAATATAGATTAAAATTATTATAGATTGATTATCTCAGAAATGTTCATAAATATAAATTAAATCTACAATTCTGTGGGGAAGTGGGCTGTGCTGCAGTCATCTCAGGCAGCAGGATACAAGGGATATTTATTCCCTCATCATTCTTCCCCCCTCCCACCTCACCCTCAAAGGTGTTTCTTCCAAGAGAGGAGTAAAGAACAAAGCAAAATCTCTCATGCTGCTGTAGAAGTCCATGGTGAGTCCCCATCTTGCATGTGGGGTCCCCTTTAACTCAAAAAGAATAGGATAGAACTAAAAGGTATAATACTGAGACAAAAATGCATAAATATATTGAATGGCTTCTGTATGAAGAACTACAGAAATCAGGATTTTTTATTTTTTTTTTGTCTCAGAAAGGTGTTGGCAGAAACGAAGATGACAGCAGCATACAGAATGACTCCTGTAATATAAAAGGTGAACAGGAAAGATCAGTTATTGCTCAAAATAAAAGAAGTAAAGTATCAAATAAAACTATCTGGTGACAAACAAAAATACTTTTTTTTTTAAAAAAAAGCATACTTTAGCTGTAGAATCCTTTTCCATAGCCTGCTGCTGGATGTCAGGAATTTGTATCAATTCAGAAAATGTTTAGCTAAATTTCTGTAGGTGAAGAAAAAAAAAAATCTATCAAAGGCTATTAAACCAAAGATACTACATGGGAATCACCAAGTTGAAGACAACTGGAAAAGTATATGAGGGCAGTTGTACTGTAAGCTGCTGCTGGAGGCAGTATCCATTTTTTGCCACTCTGAGTCAGGATCTGGGGCTAGGGTGAATCTTTGGTATTATCTTTTAAATTGTTCTCATGCTCATGTGGCTAAAATTAATTTGGTCAAAGTAACTATGAGCATGAATCACATATGAGTTCCTGTAAGTATATGTAAAAATTGTGAAATATCATTGAGGCTTTATTTACAGCAGTTCTTTCCTATAGTAACCATAGTACACGTTTCATCTGTAACTGGGCTGCATTTTTAAGCAGTAGCATGTGTTGAAATGCCAGTATCTAGGGTAACTGCTTCTACTTGATTCGGCATTGGAGGCTGAGGGTGTAACTTATCCTGCTTTTATAACGTTCTGCACCTTTCTGGAATAGGCTGAATTATGAAGAACTTGCTCCAGGTCAAATTACCTGGTTGCTAGCATAATAGCTTCTTTATAAAGGAAGATACTTCTTTATACATTTACAGTGCGATGGGAACTAATTAGTTCTTGAGGGCACAGAAGAATGTTATTTACCAGGGGATTTATAAGAGGCAGAATAGTCAGCTAAGGAAATGCATGTTCAGCCTCCCACCCTGCTGTGCCTCTACCTCCTACAGCAGAAACGTGCCTTCTGTTCACATATTCTGCTCTGCATAGGTCTTGTTCAGTTAAACACATGGAGCATTCCCAGGATAGCCTTGAGAAGGCTGTGGAATGAGACATGCAGGAGATTAATCAATAAATCTTCCAGGGATCCATATTTCAGAGGAATTTACAAACCGCATGCTTCTGAAATACTATTATAATAGAAGGAACTTCCCAGTAATTCACAAAAGCTCAGTGGGACCCAAAGTCCTTCTATAAAGGCAACATTGCTGAGCAGCCAGCAGCTTTTCTTGAACTCAAATGACGGTCAGCACTATCAGAGGGTGACTGTGATCACAGGATTAGGTGGAGTAATAGATGAGCTACTTAACCACCTTGTACCTCAAGAAGTCATTTATATCTTTGCAACCGGGAAGAGGAGCTAGTGCTGCGTGACCAGCCTGAGAACGCTGTGGCTGGGACATTGTACTTCTGTATTTTGCCAAGAAGGGTGCTAAACAGAGATTTAGCAATTAATAATATCCATGGTGTGTTTTAATTAATCCTATTCCTGCTTTTGTGTGCAAACTCCCGAGTACAATCTTTCTCATTTTTACTGGTTTTACCTGAGTGTAATCTACTCAGGGCACTTGTTATTATATGTAACTTCATCTAAATTTTCTTTTTAAATTGTAATCAAAGATAAATTATTGTGTTTGGGAACTGGTACTGCAATTCAAGAATAGCTATTTCTTCAGTTTAAACAAGTGCTTAGATTTGTACCAGTTTATACACTTGTTTGAATTGGGATGAATCTTGCATGTAAGAAGGGAACATTTTCTTGCAGAAAAATAGTGAAAATCTTTCCTGTGAAGGAGAAATTGGTGGTGATGGTTGGTTTAAAAAAAACTTGATAAGGTTTTAGGAAGATTTCAAAACCTTATTTTGAAAGACTAACCCAAGAAGAAACCTGCACAGACACAGTGAAGCTGAGAATGCTTTCATGCCACAATTGTTCCTGACGTACCACCTTACTGCACTGCTTAGTGCTGCTGGCATGTAAGAAGGGAAAAAACCAAACAAACAAACAAACAAACAAAAAAACAAACAAAAAAACCCCAAACCAACAAAAAAATCCACCAACACAAACCAAACCAAACTCATTGATTAAGTCTGAATGGTTTTTTCCACTTTCTTACTATTTACCGAAAATAACCCCAGAACGCATCGGAAGAAGCAGAGATCGTAAGCAATGAAAAAGCAGATGCATCTCTAGAAGCTGTCGCTCCTGACAAAGATGAGAGCAAGAGCCCCGAAGCCGCAGAAGTGAAACCTCGGAGAGAAGAAAGCAAAACCCCCAAGGCGAACCTGCGGAAGTTCTTTAAACTGGTAAGCACGGCGCGCAGCTTCGAGAGCTTGGAGTGACGTGTTCCTGCAAGGCCGGGGGTGGCAATTCGTGAAAAACCCTTTGAAAACGAACTGTGAGGGTGCGGCCGCGCGGCTCTGCCCGTTTCCAGAGGCGGTGCGTGCGCGGCCCCCCGCACCCCGCGGCCCCCCGCGCATTCCGCGTTCTGCATCGCCCCCTCGTGGCTCGCCCGGGCAGAGCCCCGGGGCCGCTCCCGGGGCCGCTCCCCGCTCCCGGGGCCCTTTTTCCCCCGCCGAGGTGGGCCCGGGCAGCACGAGGGGCTTGAGCCAGCGGTCGCGATTGCCACCGGGGCAGCCTTCAGCTTCACGAACCGCTTGCACCGGGCGATGTGCGGCGTGGGCAGGGGCTCCGGGAGGACGCGGCCCCGCGGT